ACAGACACTTTCCGTCCGGTAGTGTATTCAACGCCACCTGACCGCGTTCACAGACACTTTCCGTCCTGTAGTGTGTTCAACGCCACCACACAGTCTCCCCCAACGCTGTCCTCTCCTCCTGTAATGTGTTCAACGCCACCTCGCCGCGCTCCAAGACACTTGCGTCTCGGCCACTTGCTTGCTACTCGCATAAATTCGCCCACTCACCAACACAAACTAGCGCCCGCGAGTGATTGACTTAGGACTCTCAACTTGGCAAGTTCCCCGCCACAAAACTTAACCTCCGGCGCTCAAGTCTCGCCGGCAGCGCCAACTTGAGGCTGACGCACTAACTTGGGCCGCACGCGCCCTCCACGGTTAATTGTCGCCTGTTGTGTAAGAAAATGTTTTGTCATTTAGGCAAATTAATGCAAAAAATAAAGCGTATGTGGAGCTTTGGCTAATTGGCGCTGGGAATTTGGGCGTTCGGCGCTAAGGACCGCGAAGTGCTGAAAGCCGCGAAGTGCCGAAGGCCGCGAAGTGCTGAAGGCCGCGAAATGCTGAGGGCTGCGAAGTGCTGAGGGCTGCGAAGTGCTGAGGGCTGCGAAGTGCTGAGGGCTGCGAGGAGCTCAGGGCTAGCTAGTGATAAGGGTCGCGAAGAACTAAGGGCTGCGAGGAGCTCAGGGCTAGTGACAAGGGCCGCGAAGTACCAAGGGCTCTCATTGAGGTCGTGGGTCTCCTTGCTAACGGCTGTACCACGTGGAGAACACCGCTTCTCGCCCGTTCCGCGAAGTTAAGCAACGCGGGGTTTCGTTAGTACATGGATGGGTGACCGCCTGGGAACACCAACTGCTTTTGGCATTAAATTCATGCCCGAAACGTTGAGCGTATTAGTGGCTTTAGGCATAACATAGGCCTAAAGTATATATGCCCCTACATAGAAAGCCAACGTTCTTCTTGTATTTCATTTTGTATATATGTACTTTTTTCTATATAAACATTTTAGTAATAATTTTTAATTATTATTATAATAAAACCGCGTGAAGCGGCTCGCTCCTTGCTGGTGGCCGCTGGGGCCGCTGAGGGCCGGTGGTGGCCGCTGAGGGCCGGTGGTGGCCGCAGGTGGCCGGTGGTGGCCGGTGGTGGCCGCTGAGGGTCGCTGAGGCCCGCTGAGGGTCGCTGAGGCCCACTGAGGGCCGCTGGTGGCCGCTGAGAGCTGCTGGTGGCCCCAGGTGGCCCGCTGGTGGCCGCAGGTGGCCACTGGCGGCCGCAGGTGGCCACTGGCGGCCGCAGGTGGCCACTGGCGGCCGCTGGTGGCCGCTGGCGGCCGCACGTAGTCGCTGGTGGCCACTGGCGGCCGCTGGTGGCCGCTGGTGGCCGCAGGTAGCCGCTGGCGGCCGCACGTAGTCGCTGGTGGCCGCAGGTGGCCACTGGCGGCCGCTGGTGGCCGCAGGTAGCCGCTGGCGGCCGCACGTAGTCGCTGGTGGCCGCAGGTAGCCGCTGGCGGCCGCACGTAGTCGCTGGTGGCCGCTCAGGGCCGCAACACCCATGTTTCCGGGTACCCGGGTCGGATATTTAGACGGGAATATCTAGCCATAAACAAATAAGCTTGCACATCCCAGTTTAATGGTGACGGAGACGATAATGATTGTTGTGACATAACAATCCGCTCTCTATAAATCTATATGTATAATATATATATAACGTATATAATATATATAACGTAAAATACCGTAAAATTCGACATGTCGACGGATAAGTGACGAACCAGTCCGGATTAACAGACATCATTGCCGTCCGGCGCCGCCAGAGTTACTCCCGAAGATCTCTGTTAAACCGGTTTTGCATCAACGACAACCGCGGTAAACGGCGAATGTCCGCTCTTAGGACCGCATGTGTCGGCCAGCCTTGACTGAGAACGCCGGCCAAGCCTTGACTGAGGACGACGGCCAGCCTTGTTGACTAAGGACGCCGGCCAGTCTTGACTGAGGACCCCGACCAGCCTTGACTGAGGACGCCAACCAGCCTTGACTGAGGACGCCGACCAGCCTTGTTGACTGAGGACGCCGACCAGCCTTGTTGACTGAGGACGCCGGCCAGTCTTGACTGAGGACCCCGACCAGCTTTGAGTGAGGACGCCAACCAGCCTTGACTGAGGACGCTGACCAGCCTTGACTGAGGACGCCGACCAGCCTTGACTGAGGACGCCAACCAGCCTTGACTGAGGACGCTGACCAGCCTTGACTGAGGACGCCAACCAGCCTTGACTGAGGACGCTGACCAGCCTTGACTGAGGACGCTGACCAGCCTTGACTGAGGACGCTGACCAGCCTTGACTGAGGACCCCGACCAGCCTTGACTGAGGACCCCGACCAGCATTGACTGAGGACGCCAACCAGCCTTGACTGAGGACGCTGACCAGCCTTGACTGAGGACGCCGACCAGCCTTGACTGAGGACGCCGACCAGCCTTGACTGAGGACGCCGACCAGCCTTAACTGAGGACCCCGACCAGCTTTGACTGAGGACGCCAACCAGCCTTGACTGAGGACACCGACCAGCCTTGACTGAGGACGCCAACCAGCCTTGACTGAGGACGCCAACCAGCCTTGACTGAGGACCCCGACCAGCCTTGACTGAGGACGCCGGCCGTAACACCCCTCCCGCTCCCTTGCATAACAAGTGTTGTTCATTATCATTTTGTGAGCGCTATATGCGCGTATAATGTGTTTAGTGAACGACGAACCCTCTGTTATTGAGGCCGGGGAGGAGCAGGAGGAGGGAGGGGGAAGGTGTTGTTGGAGAAGGGGGATGATTGGGGGATTGAACTTTGAGTCAAGGTTGAGGTAGTGAGTGGTAGTATTGAAGGAGGATTTTGGCGGGGTGGGGGGGGGGGTAGAGAGGGGGGGAAGGGAATCCATAGGGGGAGGGGGGGGGGGAGTTTTGATGAATGGTAGTTGAGATTGCGTGAGGGATTGTTGAGTGTGTAGTGGGTGAGTGTAGCAATGTAATTACAAGCAATATTTCATTATGATTTGTTTCTGTATTGTGATGAATGTGTATTTTCTAGTAGAGGCTGATGGTGTGCTTTAGGGGTGTTTACGGAGTATATAGAGGAGTAATGGTGATTTAAAAAGTGTAGAGGGAGAGAATGATGGTAGGAGTGGAAACAGAGAGAGAGAGAGAGAGAGAGAGAGAGAGAGAGAGAGAGAGAGAGAGAGAGAGAGAGAGAGAGAGAGAGAGAGAGAGAGAGAGAGAGAGAGAGAGAAAGGGTAAAGCAGCGATAAAGAACGGGTTAGGAGAGGAAGAATGTTGAGAAGAACGGCAACAAAAGAGGGAAGTAGGGAAGGAAAAAATGGAGTTATAGACAATGATAAAAAAAACAAAAGTGTAGGGGAAAAACATGAAGAAGGAAGGAAGGAAAAGGGAAAGAGAGGGAGAGGTATGAAAGATAGCAAGTTTAGGTCATCTACTTTATTCCCCATGCCCATCCTGTGAGCAGTGGTGGACCTCCATACCCATCCTGTGAGCAGTGGTGGACTTCCATACCCATCCTGTGAGCAGTGGTGGACTTCCATACCCATCCTGTGAGCAGTGGTGGACTTCCATACCCATCCTGTGAGCAGTGGTGGACCTCCATACCCATCCTGTGAGCAGTGGTGGACTTCCATACCCATCCTGTGAGCAGTGGTGGACCTCCATGCCCATCCTGTGAGCAGTGGTGGACTTCCATACCCATCCTGTGAGCAGTGGTGGACCTCCATACCCATCCTGTGAGCAGTGGTGGACTTCCATACCCATCCTGTGAGCAGTGGTGGACTTCCATACCCATCCTGTGAGCAGTGGTGGACCTCCATGCCCATCCTGTGAGCAGTGGTGGACTTCCATACCCATCCTGTGAGCAGTGGTGGACTTCCATACCCATCCTGTGAGCAGTGGTGGACTTCCATACCCATCCTGTGAGCAGTGGTGGACTTCCATGCCCATCCTGTGAGCAGTGGTGGACCTCCATGCCCATCCTGTGAGCAGTGGTGGACTTCCATACCCATCCTGTGAGCAGTGGTGGACCTCCATGCCCATCCTGTGAGCAGTGCTGGACCACATACCCATCCAGTGAGCGGCAGTGTACACCATACCCATCCTGTGACCGGTAGTGGATACCAAACCCATTCAGTGAGTGGTGGTAAACCCCATACCCATCCCACAAGTGGCGATGAACCCAATAACGGTACCGGAACAGTACTGGAATGGTACTGGAAAAGGTTACAGATACACACGATAGCCCCAAGAACTCAACCCCCCAGAATTCGTTTAGCTAAGCAAGTTACAGCACTGTTCAGAGAGTTACACAATATACTGACATGCGTAAATCACCTGTACCGCTATAGGTTGGTAAACTAACATCACCGTGACCTCAAGAGAGCCCTTAACACAGAGTGAGGGGTTGTTTGTTGAGTCAGTGGCATGCAATATTAATTTGCCTATCGAGCAACTCACACCAATCCAGTAGGGGGGGCGGTGGGAAGGTTTCAAACGCCGGCATGCACTCCCCCTGCAGTTAGCAAACTGGGGTTAATTAGCTAAAAAAAAAAATCAGGTAGTAGTTAATTTTAAAAGTAAAATTTTAAAATTTTAATTTTTTAATTAAATACATTGGTTCAAATCCTATGCCTTCAATGATGAAGTTTAACTCTACACTGACTATAAGCAGTTTGAGAACACTGATACATTTTGTATCAGTCTGTAGTAGTCATTTTGTATTATTTTGTATCACGTTAATGTGAGTTCCTTGAGCACGCGGTTACAAGCGTCCCTGTATCACCTCCTCACTTCACGTATAATGTAATACCTGGGTTATTGAAAAGTTAAATAGTTGGGTTAAAAGCCGTGAGATAAAGCAGAGGTTTTTTTTAACTTTTTGATGCCATTGAACCCTTACCTGAGATCTGTCTATAGTTAGTTCCAGGGATCAACGTCCCCGAGGCCCAGTCTCTGAGTAGGTCTCCTGGTTAGTGGTCTCTGGTCATCCAGAATGAAGGATGCAGCTATATATATATATATATATATATATATATATATATATATATATATATATATATATATATATATATATATATAACAAAATACTCCATGGAGCCCAAGGGATTCAAATTTTAGATTTAAACGTACATACATATATATATATATATATATATATATATATATATATATATATATATATATATATATATATATATATATATATATATTGCTATTTATATTTCCATTGGTTATGAACTCTATGGTTTTTGTAGACTTACAAAATTAATTCATAAAAAAGCCTCGATATTTTTAATACATTTTTATTATAATGTCAAACAGGCGGCAGGAATATTATACCTAATAGCCCTAGAGAAATTTTACAAAAGGGAGAAATTTAATAAAAGGATAATTTAAACATTTGACTAAAAAAAAAAAAGGTATTGCTAAATAGCTTCACTGTGATTGGTTTTCCTTACGTAGTCTAATATCAGCAACAATTTGTTAATTTGTAAATGCAAATCACCTTATGCAGTCAGATTATGTCATCGACTAATGTCAATAAAATGATCTCTCATAGAGATATATATTTTTTTGGGGGAAAAGGCTTAATATATTTCAAAGAGAGGAATTTAAAGTCTTTTTTTTATCCTCAAATTCATAATTTTCATTAAATATTTTTTTTCGATGTTAAACGAATTGAAATAATATAATCAGTTGTTGAATGTAAATTAATTTGCAAATTAGTATTAATGTCAATATTTAGATTCATTTCCATATATACAGCACACCCCGCAACCACTTATAGACTGTTCCGTCTCGCTTCATGCAGATCCGCGTTCGATCCTAGATAGCTCAAGTAGTTGAACCCCATTCCATTTCTCCGTCCTATCCAAGCTCCTTGTTCTCGTATCCTACAGGCTTGGAGCTTTCTCCTCATAATTGATCTAGAACTCAATCGTATGAGTCGATTCTAGGTACGAGATGTCTCCTGGCTGGTGTTAGCTAGTCAGACTAGTGTTCTAAGTCACTCTCCTTGAGAAAAGTACGAAGAATTGATGTGAATATATCCACATCATTTAAATATTTAATTCCACCTTCCTCTCTTTCTCTAAGCTCTTTCAAAGTATGTATTACGGAACCACGTGGAACCGAAGGGTTCTACGGAACCCTAAAGAACCCTCCGAAGAACCCAAGAGTTTCAGGGAACCCCAAGAAAGATCTGAATAATCCAAGTGTTTCATGGAATCAAAACAAATCTTCAAAGACCCTAAACGGAGTTTCCACAAAACAAAAAACTCCTTGGAACCCAAGGGATTAAAATTTTAGATTTAAACATACATACATTTAAACATTTAGATTTTAGATTCAAACATACGATTTAGAATCCATTACATTAGATAAAAGAACCATATATCTGTGGGTTGGATAAAAAATTTTATGGGTGGGACGGAAGGTGTTTCAACTACGTTATTATAACTTATTTTCTGCGTGAAATTGTAATAGACTTTACTGATAATATTTTTTTTATA